TGTTAGGCGTCATCGGCTAGTGATACCCAACCCCAGTGTGGCCACTGAAATTACTGAAATTGCTATGTTTTGCCTATATCCTAGCCACCTCGCGGCGGAGGTTCGAGAGAGAGCTCCAATGGCAGTATGGAGGGACTAGTGTGTTCTCTGACAGATCGGTTTACGCGTCTATGCCACTATAAGTGCATATGTACAAGATACATATGAACTGAAAGATGGGCATCCCAAGAAGTATAAATCGGTAAGAGAAGTTCTTTGGGAAACGATAATGACATTTACTGTGAATTTATGACACTGGCACACCAGATCCTCGGCAACTGCCTAGAGAGTGCGCATAGTGTTTGTTATTGTTTCCCAAAGAACTTCTCTTATGGAATAGAATATACAGTATGAGCATATATAATCAATATGCACATAGAATATATAGTATTTTATATATATATATAACCTATAAATTAATGCACATTTTAGTTACAACGCTGATCCTAAAAAACGCAGAGGTTTGGTCAAGTAAATTAAAGAAAATTAGCCAGGAAAATGGACGCTTCAGCCTTGTTCTAAGATTTTTTTTGATTTTGTAACGGATACTGAAGAGGGTAGAAATGAAGAAGAATTGCAATGATTGCAAACAAAAATGCTTATCAGCATTATCTACTATGAGATCTAAATGAAAACTGACAAAATGCTAATATGTCACTAGCTTTTTGAAAATAAATGCTTGTTGTTCAGTTTTCTCTGCAGAAAACTCGAAATGGAATATTAAAAAATATTTTGCATTTTGGAAGCTACAGTGTTGATTGCACGGTTTTCGTGTTCGATCGTGTTAAAGGCACTCTTGGGAAAGTGGCTAATTGCAAATGAACATGCTAAGGGTTTTCCTTATATATTTTCCATCAAGATGTTTCGTAAGTTAATTTGTATTTTAAAGAGCAGAAAAGGGAGGCGCGTCCTTGCTGACCACCTGAAGCTCTTGAGAAGAAGACTGCTCGATCGCTGGGACAATACGTTTATTCGCCTGACGTTTTGACGTTACGTTATGAACACATCAAAGCGTTTTTATTTAAAAAATAAAAAAAAACTATATAAGCCATTCTCATAGTTAGAGTAAATGGCAATTATTTATTGTTATTTGCATTCACCCGTGGAATTAAATCGTCTTATGTATTCATGCAAAAACCATTTTTGTGCAAAAGGTAGTTTTCGGCCAAACATTTGGCACAAACCAGACTTTAAAATATCAACCACTTTCTCGATAGATTCATATAGCGCATAGTGCGTGAAATATTTGTTTCCATTTTTGCTAAATGTTTCATCAAAAATTAAAATATCCTTAACGTAGGGATTTGGAGAAATATGAATTAGTAGTACGCTTCTATTTTCATTACTGTATGAACAAACTAAAAATGCCTGAAATATGTAAGGCCATGCACTAGTCCTTGTTTCGCAATAAGACGTAAGCTACTACAATAAATCAGTCAACACGTACACAATTGATGGATGTTACAGATCCGTATGATACTATAATTTCTGTTTTGCTATGGTGAGTTGTTAATTGAAATATGATAAAGTACTTGAAGGTATCCTGAGTTTACAAGACGTACTGGAGATAATACAGGGAAAAATGAATCTACATTTATCACCAATAAGTATGCTGACTTTAGTATATGAAACATGTTTTAGGAATAGATGAGTGCAGAGTCTTTTTATGCAAAGCTAGTCATACAAGCATGGGAAAATTAAAATATCCATTTTGTGTAAAGTAGTCTCATTTCCAAAAACTGAGAACAGATTGCACAAATTGTCTCATGTGGGTTTTTAGTTCAGGAGTCTTTTCGGGAAAGTTGACATCTTGAGACTCAGCCTACCATTTTTATTTGATAAACGTTGACGAAAACTTTCGCTTTCCACACACAAGACGTCCAAACTAGGAATAGCGTATCACGCTTCGAATACAAACGGAAAGGCTATATATAGCGCAAACCAGTCTAGGGTGCTAGAAGGCACTCAAATATTTGCTTGATATTATCAAACGTACGACTACTAAAAGCAGAATAACTTCGAGACGAGAATAGTCACTTTTTACTTACCAGACTTCGTCAGTCTGGTTTTTATGGCCTGAAAAGTGATCCTCGTTTCCGGTCTCATCGATTCTGTGTAATCTTATTTTCTGCCCTTGCGATAGGGCCCTTGTGCCTTTGTCCACGCTTCTTCTTTTGTATTACTTGTTACTAATGCAACGACTGTAGGGACACATGCTTGACGCGCTTGGCACATGGCTTAGTGCATGTCTCGTTCACTAATTGGTGAACAACTGCTCACCTCAAATAACTAATTTCATTGAGGTATCCAATTATTCTAGTAGGACTTTTTTCAAAAATGCTGCACTTCTGAAATTCTAAGCTCATATACCGTGTAGGTATCGGTTATTTCGTTAAAACTCATGTTCTGGTTTACAAATAATTTATTTGACATAAAAATAGTGTAAGCATTTGAATAGTTGTCAAACGAATCTCAGACAGAGTTACTAGTACCTTTGTTGACCTTTTAAGAGTTTTTCGTCTTCACTAAGAAGCTATACATTTAGATTATTATTTGCTCTTAACAAATATCTTCGTAGGATGAATATCTCAGGATTTGCATAATATCAGAGTTATGACTTGTGCACGTTGGTATTACAGCCTCTTTGCTTCAGATTTAGATTCCTTTGCCATTTTTCAAAAATGGAGCTTGCCTTTGCAAACATAAACAGATCACACCCCCGTTTACTTGACCGAGGTAAAAGTATTAACCGTTACAGCAGTCAAAACATAAATTTTCCAATGCCGTTAAGTAAAAGCAGGTGGATGACAATCTTCATTATAGTCGCTTTTTTCCTAACAATAGAAAGCCGCTTGCATTCAACCATCCTCACGTTTCGCCATTTGATTGGTTCGCCCTAATGTCCTAGACCTTAACACACCGCAACCAATGAGCGAAGAGTCCATGTGATAAATAGTTTTGAATACGTTAGCAACAGGACATACTCATTTTAAGTTTTAAAACGCCTTCGTTCCTGAACATATCCATCGCGCACTTTCGATATGATACCCAGCAGGATACTTGGGTTACAGTTAACGCAAAATGAAAAATTTGGCAACAACATCCCAAACCTTGGAATTACACAAAATGCAGTGCAGGCTGTCTCCATGGGTAATTTAACCTTTGCAGGGACAAACGGACCACCCCTGCAAAGAGCCGTTTCAGGTTGGATGGAGAGCGAGCAGAGTATCGTCCAAGGAGACCTATTTATCCGTGATACGGAGGAACAACCGCCTGGATATATCTCGTTTCCAGACCCCGGTATGGAAATGAATTGCTCCGTACCAATTGCTGTGGTATCGGTACAACCGCCATCCACGGAGTCCAATGAACCCTTAACTGAAACCTCCCTGGCTGATGAAACTGCAAAACACAGCTCAACGAGTGCTTACTCAGATTTTCGAGCGCACGCAAAGGAGGAATGGGAAGACGACCAATCTAAAGATGTTTTGCACTGCCGAGGCCACTGGGAGTCCTTACCCTTTCTTGAGTGTTTTGACGACTTAACCTCTGGATTGCGAAAGAATTTTAGTACCCCCAGCAGGCAGTTTGGACCTGCGAGGACCAGCAATGAAAGATATTGTGAAGCAAAGGCCAGCAGCAGTTTTCTTCAACCATCTATTCCCAGACCACTAATCTCACGCCGTCGCCATGTCTCGCAGAGTGAAGCCTCGGTGGCTCTGATGTCATTGCATATTGACTTTGAGGTCGGCAGCAACATTACAAACAACCGTTTAAGAATTAGCAATCCCCAGGGCATGGTGAATCATTCAAAATCCAGGAGCTCAGTTTTTAGTAGGGGACTGAGCGAACCAAGCTTTAGCAACATAGTATCTCATGAAGCGCTGACTAGACCTGACACGGGGGTACCAACGGAAATAAGAAAGGTTGGTCTTTAAGACGCCTAGATAGAACAAGCCTAATCGGAAATCATTGACTTCGCTTATGAGATTTTTTTACTTCTATGCGTCAAAATATGTCATGACCTGCACTGCTGAAGTTTCCTTGAGTTATTGCATATTATGAACTCACGAGGAACCGATTAGACTTAAACGCTAATTTTTTGCAGTTTTTCAGAGAGATTTTCGTTCTTTTTTAGATAAATCGAATAGAATTCATGTAATCTAATTCATAATGAGCGCCTGTATGTTTGCATTTTGCAAATATTTAACGCGGTTACTAAAATAAGGAAAACCATTTTTGGTATGCAAATGGTGCCAACCAGTCGCATTTTTAATCTCTTTCCAAGAAACTTATCCGCTTTTACTCTGGGATACGTAAAGGGTTTATGGAAAGCTATTTGACAGGACGTGAATCAGCTTGTTTATTTTTTGCTCTTTTTTAGCGCCAAGTCTACCTCTGTGTTATCTTTCTCAAAATCGGCGAAATTGACACCATCAAAGAACAGTACGCAGCAGATGTTTTGATAAAAGCGAAGTGGAGGGACGCGAATATGGACGCTGTCGGTTCCACTGTAAGCAAATCAACAACTTACATAACTCTCAATAACCGTGAGGCTAGCGTCAGTGTGGGAAATGAGATTTACTTTTTACCATGTCGGCTTACGTTATATTTTTGATCTAAAAAACGGAAGAACCAAGAGAGTTTTGGCCAAATAATCATCAACTAGTTCTTGCAAAGTAGGAACACATTTTTGGTACTTGACCTTTAATCGTGAGCACTATTTTATCAAAATACCTTAAATTTGCTTCCTGTTTTTCTTAATACTCAATATGTGAACCTGAGGTAAATCGTTAGGAACAAGCAATTAGTTTCACAATAACTGATATGCATATTTTAGAGCAAATGTACAAGCCCTTAATATTCACGAATTTCTGAAAGGATGTCTGCATTAAGGAAATAGTTAGGTATATACAATGCTAAAAGTATGAATACGAGTTAAAAGACCGGGCACTTTATTCACCGTTTTCATGCTAATGCAGGCGTTGGCTCATGAGTACGTCTCCGAACCCTTAGACTGTGTTTGTTGGTGTGACGTTGGGCCTAACTGGTTTTTCATGAAGTATTTAATGTGTATTAGCGTGAATAAGTGAAGTAAGTTGCATTCCGAGATGATATGATGAAAAGAAAGAAGATCTTCGGAAGTACTAGCGCCCTTCTGTTCGTGGTAGGCGTAATCCAGCTTCTATCGTATATTACCTGTAGAGCTTTTTGGATTCTGCGGATTTCTGATTTTAACTTAGCTTCAATACAAGCTGTCTTTTAAAATACACCATAGGTACACCCTTTCATACAGCGTATTTGTCGATTCTTGGTTAAATTTGATATACTTTTAAAAAAACTTCATAATTTGCACTTAACATTTTGTAATGATTGCTCTTGACTATGAATCCACCTCACTTTTGTTGAGAAAATAGTGTAAATTGAAGCAGTTTTGCGGAAGTAGAGCTTCGAGATGTGTTTTAAGCAAATGGGTGACAAAATGTTATCATGAAAAGCAGAATTTGTGCACCTGCTGGGCTTTAGTGAAATAACTTAGGCTGTTGGTTACAGAATTAAAAAAAATAAAGGTTTAAATGCAGATTTCTTGCGTGTTCTATCGCTTATCCTTAATAACTAGATGCATTTTTATGCAAAAATGTCGGATTGTTTCTTTTTAGGAATATGACTGGCTGCACAACTGGACTCCGAAGCTGTACATTGAGAACACTATAGGCGAAACAAGGGAACAACTCCACCAGATGATAGCCTTAAATGAATTCGGACACGCATTTCTCGTAGAAAAACGCAGGGTTTCAGGAGTATTCCTGGAGAACCTAGAACTAAACCACTTTCCCTTTGACGTTCAAGTAAGCTTACCTGCACAATTTGTATAACTGATTAATTTTCTTTAACAATTCGTAGTAGGTTTATTAGCGTTGCGATTTAACTAAAGGAATGAGGACACGGTTTCAAATGTTCGAAAGGTGAAAATGAAGGTCATATACATTATAAGAGTCTTTGGCTTTCTGTTACCGTTCAATGAGATAAAGCAGATAAATCTTACGAAATAAAAAGGTTAAGGAGCATTTGCATGTGGATGTCAAGTAATGCAAATTTCTTCATTTTGAACAAGTATGTGAATGAATAACTCCGGTTTGGAATTGGTTTTTTAGTACTCTAGGTTGTAGCATTTTTGCCCCTTTACAAGCACGCTTGACGAAACCTCAATGAATAAACGTTTTGCAAACTTGTAGTAGTACGAGATATAAACCAATGTAATTACTGAACAGATTCAAACGTATGCTGTTCGATTACTCACGTGGTTCTAAAAATATTCGTATGAACAAGTTACTGCAATGAGAATGCTCTCGGGAATCTTTATACAATTTCATAGCTAGTTAAACAAAGACGTTTGTGAAAAAGCTCTCCGTAGAATATACAACGTAATAAGCAAATAATTAAAAATATGGGGGCAATTAGTTTCGTCGCATTGGATATGCCAAGGTATTAGAGGTTAATTTTGCAGTACATAGTATATATTTTTACGTCCTTAAGGTTATTGCAAAAAGCGTACTGCGTTTCATAATAGCATAATATTTAATAAAAACACGTAAGTTTGTTTTTAAAAATAATCGAAATCTGTTCAGAATGTAGAATTTTGCAAAACTAGTATATTAGTTATTTTTATCCTAACTATGATCGAATTAGAACCTCTTCAGCAACAAGTTGCTAAAAAAAGAGCTATAAAGGTGATTAACCTTGGCAGCAGAATGGAAAATCTGCATCATCTAATAAAGTTCGAACATGGTAAGTTGTACTCTTTCCCTGACAAAATGCAGAATGACATTAATTTGCAACAGTCTAAAGGACGCTCTATACAGACGACATTACTTTTTCAGTAAATGAAAATCATCGACCTTCGATTTAAGTCAAAGTAGATGTCGTTAAAATGGATTTGCGCTCTTACGTGTGGTAAAAACAACAGCTTTCTTATGTGTTACAGTTGCTGCATAGTGCACTTGAAGCATTAGCCTCCTTTCGTATTTTTCCAGGACTTGACCATCACTGTGGCTTCCAACTTACCATCGTCAGAAATTCGACTCCTCAACGATCCAGACGAGCCACACAGAATAAACAAGCAGTCTTTCGTTGGTAGGTTAGCCGAATCTTAAGGTTCAAAATATCTAAACATTGGTTTTATACATTCTTCGAAACTGTATTTATGGTTTTATGGGGAGACGCAAACCCTTTAAGCCAAGTGCGTTTTGTCTGTTTTTATAGATATTAAGAAAAAATTTAAATTAAACAGTTAATCGGTAAAATAAAAGTAGCATATAGCGACTTACACTGTCTACTTATTTTGCATCTTCGTCGAGCTTGAGTATATTTTTTCATATGTCATACCGTCTACGGAAGTGCAACTATTTTCACGGATTACAATGAAGATGAATACACATAGGCTTACCATATACATACACTAACCATAGAATCTTCAATTACGTTCTCATGTCTTCCCAAATTTGAGAAGGTTATTCTCTTTTCTTTAAAAGCAGGTCAATTTTTAAAAGCATTTTGCCGGCCTCAAGGTTATCTTGCATTTTTATCATCTACCAGAAGAACTCCTTGGTTGGTTTTTTGAAAGTATGCCCACGATAGCTCATTTCTATTGACATATCAAGTAAACTCGTGTTGAAAAGGCCTTCGAAGCATATATTTAGAATATAATCGGATAATACCTATGTTGTTCACTAGGGACGTCATTAAGCCTACAGTTTCATTCGGTGCCTACAACCGAATGCAAATTGTGATACCATGATTTCACAGATGTGACCTTGAAGTCACTTGTGCACCACTGACAGAAAATTAAATCGGCACCAATAGCTTTAATTGCCCTTTGGTTCCTATCTTATCCTATCTTAGCAGAGCTTTAAGGTAAAGTAAGATGACTGCAGTGTTAGATACAAACTAATTAACGGACCTTCCGTTTGGAATTCAATATCACCGAACGCAAAACCAGGTTTCGGTCACTAGCAAAGTGTTTTGGGTATAAGAAAGCCACGCTTAGAAAACGAAGGACAGCAAATAGTTGTGAAATATTAATTCCGACGGGTCCTCGTATTTTGCATAATATTAACACTTGTTTGTAACCCTACAGTTAAATTCTGCATTCCTCAGGTAAATCTCTAAGTAGAGGAGAAAGCCCGAAATCTGTTTCTCGTTAAAAAAAACTGATAGTTTTCACGAAAATGTGATCTTAACTGGATAAGCTGACAAACTGCGCAAAAATCAAAACATAAGTCAGTTTGACGATATTGCATGTGTGCCGTTCGGATAGCCTGCAAAAATTATCCTACCTGAAGTAATTACCACAGTGGTACGATCGTAGCAATTTATCTTCTATAAACTCATAAATCTTCACAAAATATTTTATGGAAGGCGTGCACTGAAGTATCCATTCGTGCCCTAATGAAATCGAACGTTAAACGAGGTAAAAGTGAACCTCTCATAAAATGTGTTAATTTGGGCTAAATATCAGGACTATTGGATTTGAACTTAGGAAGAAAGGTATAGTAAATTCTTAGGTTAAAATCAAGGCAGAATGAAAGACCAAATTTAAGCTACTGGTTAATATTTTTGTTACACTTTACTAGCACACTGCTCTCTGCGTACTTCGAGTACTCATTTTTAACTTGTTTAAACATTTTTTAATTAGAAGCTCAAATGAATGCATTTTTTTTGAAGGGCCTTTCCGGGTATCCTTATAATTCGACTTTAATATGCCACTGCGGCCGCCCTCCGGGTTTTTAATCTACACATGTGCACTGCCCGCATATGAATGTTATTGTACGCCTTCACATTATAAGAAAGCTAAATATGGCCTTCTAAACCACTGACCACTCTGTCATTACCATGAAAAACATTTTAAAAGAGGTAATTAAAAGCTATTTGAAAACAAACTAAATGTGCTAAAATACTTAATTTTACGATTGAGGATCAAACATTT